CTGCTAGAATTATGTGCTTTATCAAAATTACTTTTTAGTTCGTGTGCACATTGTGATTTTTATCACTTCTAGTCCTGGTTTGTGCCTTTGAATCCCAACTTCGGCGGCACTTCCTACAGGAAGCCTTCCCAGATAGCTTTTTTTTGGGTTAGGTGTCTCCATCTCTCATGCCTATAGGCCCCCTGCCCTAGCAGTCGCCATAGTATATTTTCATTGCCTCTTCAGTTTTCTATCTGTCCCACTTAACTGTGGGGACCCTGTGTCCCCTTCGTCTCATACATTGTCAGGTAGTTGGTCATTTAATCCATTAATTGATACAATCTGTATATGGGACTGTAATAATTTTTACTGGCAAGAATTACAACCATGGTATAAAGTTTAAATATTTAAGTTTTTTGGGTGGGTACCATTCTATGAGATTTGCTTGCTGTTCTGGATGAGATCCCTAGTGACTGGTATATTAAATAGTATTATCAGAATTAAACTGAACCTGTGGTCATCTGACCATTTTGAGGAGCAAAATACAAAATACATACAGCAAAATAATTGAACAACCCTTTCCCACCATCCCCAAAACAGAGACAAACCAAAAACACCTCTCTTTTCAAGCAACCTGAAGCATCTGTCTACAAACCGCATTAGTTCTGCTGGTTTTTACATACGTCTGTCCACAGAAGCCATTGGTATTTTCTTCTAGAAGTTGCGTAGTTTTAGTGCTTACGTTTAGGTCTGTGATCCATTCCTAATTAATTTTCCTAATGGTATGAGGTTAGGACCGAGGTTCTTTTTTTTTTCCAAATGGATCTCTGATTGTTCTCTCTTTTCCCCCATTGTGTTGTCTGCATATTTTTTGTCAAAAAATCAGTTGACCACACACACGAGTCTATTTCTGGACTCTATTTTGTTCCATTGATCTATATTTTCTGCACTTACACCAATACCACACTGTCTGGTAGCTTTATAGGAATAATTCAGGTAACTGTAAATTCTAGACACTCTTCTAGAGTTCTAGAAAACTCATCAACTGGGCAAACTATGATAATTAGCTGCAGTATCACATCATAACAGGTTTCATGCTTTTAAGATAGCTGGTGAGTCCCCTGCCTCAGATGATCTAATATCTGAAATCAGGCTGATAGTATGGGATGGGTAGGAATTCCTGATCTAGTTCAACCTACCTTCATAATTAAATATGGGAAGAGACAGGGGATTCTGGAACCCCGACTGCACTAGTAGTACTGACTTCAGGCACTGGTTTCAATTTTGTCTCCCATCCCACCTTTTATAAAACCTAGTAACTAGGGCCTTACACAAACCTGGATGAGAAATGGCAAAAAAAATATTAGCAGGAGCTACAGAATGCCCAAGGAATCGGTCTATAACTTAATCCCATATTCCAGAGTGGACATTCATCCTACCTGAAAGACCTGACTAAAGGTTCAGAATATTTAAGTAAATGTGCTTTTAGAGACCTGAAAATGATAGGAGTAAAAAGTATATGCTGTGTATTTTGGGAAAAGTAGTTATTCTACACAAATAATATCAGCTTGAAAAACTTAATATCCAGAGTGGTTTTTATTTTTGAAGGTATGATTTTCTAGAGTCTTTTTGGTAAGGTGTTTGTTTGAGAAAGCACAATTTGTCCACCGTGCCCCCGGATGGGACTGTGCCAGAGGCTGCATGAACAAACACAGCCAGAGCTCTGGGGACCCTTCAGGATGCTGGCAGTGGAAGGGGTCTTAGAGAACACCGTTCAAAGAGGGACACAGAGGTTCCGTGAGCTCGCGTGGAGTCCTACCAGAAGAACTAAGATTAAAACCCAGGTGTACAAGCCCTGTGTCAGTGTGCTCACACAGGATGCATGCCTGGCCCCATATACATACACATGGAGGAGTGTTGATGGTGCAGTAAGAATATTAGCTTGAACCAGAAGAAACTGCTGTTTGGGAGGTCAAAAAAGATCAACTATCAGGGATTTCCTGTGGTTCCCCTCTTCTGCAAATCCTCAGATTCATGTGAGGCCACCGTGAGTTTATATTGCAGCATGGGCAGTATCTGACGGTCACTGGCGTGAAAGGTTGGCTTAGGATTAATCCAGGGATGAGTGTGTTTAGGAGACCATGGGATGAGGAGAGAGCTCTCAGGAGATTTGCTTAGAGGAAGCTTCTGGGAAGGAGGAAGGCGGCCCTCCAGAGTGGGCTGTGTGATTCTGAGGCAGAAGCCAGATCCACGCCATTGACAACCCTTCACTCCCAACAGAGATGGTTGTGAGGATTATGAGATGATGAGATGATGTTGTGAGCGCTGAGGTGCTGAGTAGTTTGTAAAATCAGCTCTGCTGTTCTTTTGGCTGTCTTTTTCCCTTGTTGGATTATGGAAGTTTAGAAAGATGTTCCCAATTCTGACCATGAACAGCGAAGCATGAGGAAATGCTTTTGTTTGGTCATCTGCTGTCAGGTGGTGTCAGGTTCTTAAGATCTTTTTAGGGTCTGACTAGAGATAAAAGATTATGTATAATAAATGCAAGAAAATAATATTTGAAGCCCACTTTTTAAAACTCATCTTTTTTTTTCCCCCCACCAAGGCATCAATAATAAGCTATTGGTCTGACTTGGCCGACTAGATCTCTTTCTTGAGGTGTGGTATCTTTCTCTCTTTCTGTCTCACTCTCATGATATTTTTTTCTGTATCTATCTCCCTGTGTGTGTGTGTGTGTGTGTGTGTGTGTGTGTGTGTGTGTGTGTGTGTGTGTGTTTCTCTGTCTCTGCTTGCTCTATGTACTTATGCCCATCTCTTTCTCCCTTCTCTCTCTCTCTCTCTGTGTGTGTGTGTGTGTGTGTGTGTGTGTGTGTGTGTGTGTGTGTGTGTGTGTGTTTCTCTGTCTCTGCTTGCTCTATGTACCTATGACCATCTCTTTCTCCCTTCTCTCTCTCTCTCTCTCTCTCTCTGTCTCTCTCTCTCTCGTTCTCTGGTGTATCCAAAATTTCTGACTCAGAACAGAAATCTTCACAGTTGGATTCATGTGTGGTGTCTTTTCCCTTTTTGCTCTTTCAGTTCCTCCAGGAGTGATACAAAACGGAACGCGGGTTCTGAGCCGAGGCCTGTTTCCCGGAGTCCGGCCGTTGCCAATCACTCCCATTGGAATGACAGCAGCCGTGAGGTAAGGGAGAAGCTTGCTGGGCAAAGCCCACCTGAGGAGTGGGAAGGACATTGTGTGTCCCACGGGGCTACTCGAGGGGATGGAGAAGACCAGCCTCTAAGTAGTAAAGACAGAAATAGTTTGGGTGTTCGAAAAAGTTAAAGTAGCTCCCAGGGACCCCAATCCAAGTGCCAACTTCTCCTTCTGGGGCCATCAAATTATCCTGGTCTCTTTGCAGATTAAATGAAGACAGCTGAAACTAAATTGCTTTATTCTAAAAAGGTGGGGTAAGGTGAACAGAAGGAAATGGTGGGCAAGTTAGTCATTAGATTCTAGGCCAGCTGGTTGACCTCTAGACTTAGCCCTGTCACTTCCCAGTCCTTTGACTTTGGGTGGATGTCTGACCTCTCTGGGCCTCAGTTCCCTCATCCATGAAATCCTCTAGTCCTGGGAAGGGTTGCAATGAAACTCACATGCAAAAAATCATGTGTGAAAAGTGCTTTGGTAAGTGATGTATAAATACCAGGTGGCATCAGTCCCCTGCTTCTGAGAATCCAGTCAGTTGCCAAACTACATGAACTCTTCCTTGGGAAATTTCTTTCCTCCATCCTTCTCACCTCCTCTGCCAGCCCCAGAGTAGGGTCTGTCGCTAGCTTGGAAGCCTCACACGCACCAGTTTGAATGCCTTCCTCCTATTCCTTGCTGCTTCTCTGCCCGCCCTCGCCCATCCATCAACCATCGCCAGACTGATTTCCTAAAATGTGCCTCTCCAGCTGTCTGCAAAAGCATCCTCCTTGGCTCCCCCCACATCACCCTGATGTCCCCCTGGTCCTCCCATCTCCTTGAGCCAAATTTGTTCTCCACATACATCCAGTGTTTGCCCACCTGATTCATACAGTTTCCTCTCTGTCGATTTCCCTCGAACTCCATATACAAGGCAGCATATCCTTCATGGCCCATCACAAAAATGATTCCTTCACAAAGCTTTTCTGCACAGGCCTCTGAGCCAACATCAGATTAATTTCTCTTTTCTTGGAACCCATAAGCCCATGCTTTGGTTGTGACCCTTTGATGAGTGACCCTATGTGTGTGTGTCCCTCTTTCCTCTGTGGTTTGCTTGCTGAGGACAGCGGCTGGGTCTCACTCACTTGGCTGATGTCTCATTGCATGTTGCACAGCTACTTGTTTAGAAAAGGCCTGCCATGCTGAGCTACATCCCTTCACAGCATAACCTTCTAGCTTCTTTCCTGCACTTTTGGATCAAGTTCACATCTAATGGCAATTTTGCTTTCATAGTGTTTCATGTCCCAAAGGAAACCATCCCAGGAAGTCTGTTAACTGGGCCCTGAGGGACACGTAGGGTCGAGCTCCCTGATGTGAATCAGCCATGTGGAGATTCTCCACTCACTTGTGTCTTTTAATCCTCCCAGCAAACCAACTACTTTTGCCAGGATGGAAGTCCTTAATCTTCAGGGCAGGCGCTGGCATTTGGAACCTGCTAAGGAGGAAAGTTGGTAGGAATTAGAATAGTCATAGAATGATAAAAACCACTTATCATTTCTATTAACCAGACATGGTAATACTTTCCAAAAGTGTATAGGAAGGTTCTTTTTCTTGTACTTATCCCATATTTTTCTTAGATATCCTGAGATCAGTAATTGAATTCATAAATGGTAAGCCTCTTCCATGAAGCCAAAATATCCATGCCTTGGCCTCACATTATGAGAGAGACATTCTGTTTTCCATTCTTTCTTAAAATTGTTTCTGCCTGACCTCCTAGTTTACCTTTTTGGTTGAGAAGACTTTGAGACCGTAGACTGTTCTTACGGCGAGTAACAATCTACTTTCCTGAGCAGATGCTAGGTACAGACTTTCAGTTTGTCGTCTTCAGCATCTTTTCAGTGCCTTTGAAAGCGAACGAAGCTCTCCACGTGGCTCCAGCCATTCCCTCAGAGAAGGGAAGAGCCAGGCAGAGCGAAGGGAGGCCTGAGACCGTGCTGGGCTTCAGCAG